TGATTGAAATACTTGATAAAAGTAGAGATAAAAACAATGTTTTCATTCTCACAAGAAACATTCTTTGGGCCATCTTGTTGAGGAGCTCTGCTCCTGAGACAAACACACCAGACTATTTTCAGCTAAACAATGTACCCCCTCCGACACCCAACCAGTCAGAAAGGTCTACTTCTTGAACGGTTTTCAGTGAACACATGATCGAGGTCGGGGTTCTGATTCGACCACGGCTAACTCATAATAGATGCCTTTTTCACAAACCTGCGCAATTTACCTACGTTGGGAGGGCGGCTTATTGAGTAATCCATTTCATAACCGGATAAAACATGCGCAAATTTCCGTCCCGCTTTAAAAATCACAGGCTGGGTGGAAGTGTGCTTTTTAAAGTGTGTCGATGGGGTTGTAAAAGCACCTACATAAAACTTGGCACTGATTTCATTGTTGTTGTTCAGTTTATCCCTTTATATCTTATGTTTTGTCTTTTTAATATAATTTAGACTATTGACAGGGGTGCCAATTTTCCAGATATGTCCGGAAATCCGGATTTCTGTAATAGTCCACATTTTGCCCTGCTTACATATTTTAAAACATCATTAAAATCGCTTTGTGCATGTCATAATGCACTTTATAAGTATCTAAAATACTAAAATTCCAATCCATTGTTCCGTTCAATGGACATACAGAGTAGACAAAGCCGTGTCACCGGCCTCTGTTGTGCAATGCCTGGCACGGGCTCTTCTCCGGTACAGGCAAACAGCTTTAGTTTGATTCCCGCTAGCGAGTTTCTATTTTACCGAGTGGGTGGTTGGCGGGTGCTCTGGTGTGGTTTACTTCTTCTTTCCTGTCAAACGTCTATCGTCCTTATCTCCCCTTCTTCTTTTTATGTTTGTTACTCTCTTGTAACAGCTCTAATCTAATGGCGCTCATATGACCTTATGCAGTTGCGAACGCCGTAAAACCTCTACTAAAACTAAAAACTATTTTACCGAGTATCTCCTCTTTGATTACTTTTCCTTCTCATCGAGTAGGGCCTGACGGGCAGATTCGAAATAGCCCGCCTACTAAATGACCTAAATTGTGCCTAATCGGGGGTAAAATATTAAAGTTACAATTAAAATAACTATTACTTCCCGGAAGAGTTTGGTGTCCATACACTCCAGTCGGTGTCAAAACTCCCTCTTGTCGGTTTCAAAATTCCCGCAGCCCGTGTCAAAAACTCCCCCAGTCGGTGTCAGATCAAATTGTCTGAAAGTGATTCCCTCGCCCGAGGCACACTGCGCCCCCGCCCCGTGGTGTCCGTTCGCTTAAAGGTAACCGATAACTAATTATATTTACCGTGTTGTGTTAAAGGAAGATAATGGGGAGGGATGGTAATTGGTAAATGAAGAAACTGTGAAGGGAAGACAAATGAAGATAAACTACTTCGTTATATTTATATTAATTGTCGGCTTTAAACTCCAGCAGTTTCTTGGAACTGAATATGGACGCACATTCAGGTTCGTTACACTTTTATTAAATAAAATGTTATTGGCTGTTTCAGTAGGATTTTGGGGGGCCAAGTCATGAAGTGCGCAGTAAATTTTAAAAAATGTTTAACATACTGTTGAACCTGTTCTAAGAGCCGCATGTCCAAGACAATCACCTGTACAAACGACCACTTGCCCCCTTGGTGTGCAAGGGTTTGTATTTATTTTATTTTTTTAAATAGTATAACGGTCTGCCCAAGAGGGCCAACTGATTGTCTAAGATGATCACTTTCCCCTCTACAATGGATGGCTATCTAGGACAATTTCTCTTTCTAGGAGTTGCTTTAGATTGCTCTTGATTCTGTCGGCTGCGATTGCAACCAACACCACACGCGTTTCTTGCTTTTTTTTTTTAAATTGTTTTTGGGCGGTTGGCCGGTACCCTGGTGTGCATTGCTCCTCCTTTATCCTATCGAAGATCTACCATTTTTATCTCACCTACTTTTATATGTTTTATACTCTCTTATAGTTCTTCCAATTTTCGGCACTGATATCATCTTTTTATGTTGCAAGTGCCGTAAAACTTTTACGAAAACATTGGTTTGTTTGTTTGTTTTAAGACATTGGTATCGGATATGTCATGTGGTTTAGAATCTCTCTTTCTCTCTTTCTCTGTCTCTCTCCCTCACACACACACACACACACACACACACATACACACACACATACACATACACACACACATACACA